AGTGGGAGATGAAGCAGCTTATCCCGAGGACGCAAACCTTCCCCGCTACACACATAGTGGGCTGCAGATACTAGGACTCGTCACCGCCGTCCATGGAGCAGCACCACCTAAGGAGCTTGCCACAGTTCAGCAGGCTCTGGGGGGGGAGCACAGGGAAAAATGGCGCGAAGCCATGGACAGAGAGTTAAAAGCGCTGGAAGACCGCAACACCTGGAAAATCGTACCCATCTGAGTGGCACGCAACAAAACCGTTCTCACCGGAAAATGGGTCTTCCGCGTGAAAACGGAAGCCGACGGAACCATCAACAAGTTCAAAGCACGTTGGGTCGTACGCGGCTTCGATCAAGAGCATGGACGAGACTTCACCGAAACCTTCGCGCCAGTTAGCTGATACACCTCACTACGGATTCTCCTCGCGATAGTCGCCATGAAGCGGTGCCAAATCGACGTCGCCAATGCCTTTCTGTACGCTCCCATCGCCGCTGAGATTTTCGTCGAACAACCACACGGCTCTAGCGCAGACCCCAATCAAGTCTGTCAGCTGCTGAAATCACTGTACGGCATCAAGCAAGCCCCGAGGCTGTGGCAGCAGTATCTTCATGCCCGACTAATTCGCATCGGATTCCGCCAACTACCGCATGACCAAGGAATGTACCGACTCATTAAAGGGACCGACTACATCCTGCTCATCGTTTACGTAGACGACCTACTCTACATCGGCTCAACTGACGACATCACGACTTGGTTCGAAGGGGAGCTGCAGCGGGATCTCACGCTTACCATCTCGTCTACCGTGACACAGTATCTGGGACTCAACATACAAGAAGGGGAGAACGCGATTTACCTCAGCGCCACAAAATATGCCAACACCATCACCAAGCGCTTCGGACTAATTCCAGCTACCATCACCACGCCATATTGCTACACCGATGGAAATCGCAAGGAAGCCTCCGCTCTGCTCAAACCCGCCGGAATTCGCGACTACCAACGAAAGCCAGGCTGTCTACTCTTCGCAGCCGTCACTTGCCGACCGGACCTATCTTACTCAGCTAGCCAACTCGCCACCTACCTCAAAAGGCCTGAAGCAGACCACATGGCCGAACTCGACCGCTCTCTTCACTACCTCGTCAGCACCCCGACAATCAGCCTAACCTACCACAAAAGCTGAACTACAACGCCCAAGCTAATCGGTTATGTGGATGCTGACCACGCCGGCGATTCCGACAATAGGCGATCGCGCACTGGCTACATCTACCGACTTGAGCCTATCGGCCCTATCTCGTGGCAGTCGAGCAAACAAGAATTAATCGCTCTCTCCCTGCTGAAGCAGAATATATCGCACTCTGCTTAGCCACCAAGGAAGGATTGTACCTTCGCGAACTGCTGGAAGAAGCGAAGCTCGCTCAGTTACCCAGCTTCTCCCTGTTCTGCGACAACCAATCGGCCATTCGCATAGCGAACAAGAACGGATTCGCGAGCTGAACGAAACACATCGCCCTGCGATATTTCTTTGTGAAAGACGAGATCGAGAAGGGGAGACTCGAGCTATCTTACTGCCCCACATCCGAGATGGCAGCAGATTACTTGACCAAGAAACTCGGGAAGCAGAAGTTCGAGTACTATATGCTGCTGACTGGACAAGGCCACGTCACCAGCACCGACACTCCATAAGCGAAGGAGAGTGTTGGAAACAAGTGATTTAACGCTTCTGTTGTGACGGAACATCGAACTGTAAAACGAAGCAAGTTACAACGAAGCAACGGCGAGTCAGCCGAGGAGGTTGACAAAACGCAACAGCTGGAGGTTACGCGAAGGTCAAAGGTCAGCGACCTTTGACTCGCCAAAATACAGCGCGACAGCAAGGACAAACAACTGACTCGGTATTGAGCACTTGCCCGAGTCGTCACTGTATCAAACCGCAACAGCAACAGTAAAACAGTTAGTTACACCTTCTCATATTCCTTGTAATCTTATAAAAGCTTGTATTCCTTTGATATAATCAATCTATTTTGCCCTCACATACCAGCGCAAGGTGGTTCAATAGTTAATCATTAAACGCTTCCGCAATTACAACATCTCTGCCCAAAGTCTTAGCCTTGAAAAGATCCTAAGGGCTTTTCTCAGCCCAACAGGCGCAGTCGTTTGTCAATTGAGATATTCCATACAGAATATTACCTTTTCCATTTACGGGGTTGACTGCTTCGCGTACAAGCCCAACTGTCGGGCTTGCACATCCGGCCGTCATCGACGATTCTGAGGCTGCCCCTCGTCGCCTTCAGATTTCCCTTGCCCAACCTGCACCCAACCTCTCGTGCCCAAGGTTCCTGCCTAGCTAGGGTAATCATTAAACTGTGGTGCATCCTTCATTGTATCGACGGTCGATTTAGTAATAAGCTTCATTCCTCGAATTCCGCGCAACTCTGTTTTACAACTTATAACACTTGGTATCAGAGCCACTTTCCTAGTTCACCCCGCTTTTTTATGGTAGTTTAGTGGCACGGGTGTGACTGGTACCGTATGGCCCCGGATCAGGCCCTCAAATATCAGCGTAAAACACGCTGATTACGCTGATTTTGTAGCTCTTATTTTCGTTTTCCCTGGAAATTCAGCATATGCTTTAATTTTGCACTGAAATTTCAGTATTTACCTATTTTACCACACTGACCATTTTGCATGTTTCTATACAAGTTAAACTGATCAATCAGTATTGTTCAGTGAGTCACACTGAAACGGACTTGACCGCGTGTGGGGGGGGGAGGATAGGCTACGCGACACGTGTGCAGACTGTACCTTCCCGTGATTCACGAAACCCCACCCCACCCACACACTTGGAATTTCTTCACATGCGCTGTACTTACAGCTTGTGCACGCCGAACCGTTTTGCCGCGCTGGAAGCCATCACAACGAAACAGCTCTAACATCGTTCACGACTGCCCAATCAGAACACAGATAACACACCACTGGAGGCAGGGTCCACGCCAACACACCATACAGGATGGCAGTGGGGTGGGGGTCTTGTCATCTTGCCAGGAAAGACGGCCAGGGTGGACCAAGATGCCTCTCCATGGCGGCTCGGGAGAGGGAGTACCCCCATCTGGTCCCTCATTCTATTCCTGCACTCGTCATGAACCCTTGCAGGAAGTGACGTTGGAGCTCAAGCGTACGCAGGAGTAGCTTCCCTCTCAAGCTCGGCACGCTCGGCAGAGCTGAGCAGCCATGGCGGATTCGTCACCCGCACGCGACGGCCCTGAATCCAACGTTGCCACGAAGCCAGTCGCCCTTACTAACCTTGACTTCTTACGACGAGCTTCAGCTGCTCCCGCGTTAGTCTCGCTATCAGATCCGACTGTTGTTCTCCCTTCCTCGGGCCTCGTGGCACCTACCATTTGGACGCAAAACAAATATTCGACGCATGTCGCCGCTGCCGCATCACCTCCTGTCGCAGCTGCATCAACTCCTGACGCTGTCGCATCAACTCCTGCCGCTTCCGAACCCACACGGAACCGTCATCCTGTCGCTGCCGGATCTACTTACAAAGGCCCACGTCTCAAAAAGGGTATCAAAGTGAAGTACCTCCAGACGAAGATGCAGTGGGGTGCCAGTCAAGCTACGCCAACGTCTGGTGTGGGGAACTCCTCCTCGAAGGCCCAACAGCGTTAACTCAAGGGGAAAGCGGTTGAGGTTACTTCTGAAACAGAACTGCCCGACATAGCCGAGGAGAGACATCATGAAGCCTTATTTATGTACAACAAACAGTGGTCTGACGACTACCCGTGGCTTGTTTTGCGTAAGACGAAAGCAGGGTTTTCGTCAATAAAGTGCACGGTCTGCATTGCGCACGGTGGTGTGGGCACGAACTTTGGCGCCAAAGGAGAAGGGGCGACCGATGTGCAGACCCAGCCTATGCGGAGACCGCCGAGCTCTGCATAGACAGAGGACAGCCGAGGCAGCGCTCAAGGCTAACCGCCGGATCGACGACAACTCAAAGGTGAAAGACCTTGAGAAGGAGCGCCTGATCGCGCTCTTTGAGACCGCACTCTTCATCACTAAGTCCGATACCCCGATCGAGATGTACGTGGGCCTCATCCGACATCTGGCGCGCGTGGCATGCTCGGCTTCCCAAAGAGCAGTTATGGTACCTACTACACGACGTAAGTAACACTGGTCTAATACATATCGGTGCAGAGTGTGAACTATGTGAAGCTATCACTAACCACATATGTTGATGCCCGTACAGGTACTGTACGGCTTCGAAGAGATTACCGCCGCAATAGCGACATACCTTCGTGCGCGCCAGAGAGAGTTCATTGACTCTAGTCCATACATTGGTCTGAGCTGCGACGAGAGTAGAGACCGCGTCAAAGGGAAGCACGTGATTTTGTTTGTAACGTTTCTGCGTGAGCATGCCATCGTCATCGAGTTTCTAGCTAACCTCACCGTTGAGAAGTGTGATGCAGCATCTCTTCATGCTGTGCTCAAAGGATTCCTAGACAGTATCAGTCTGCCGCTGGAGAAGGTGGCAGGTATCAGCACTGATGGGGCTCCTGTGATGATCGGCAACGACACTGGCCTCGTAGGGCGTCTTCGACTGCAGATCCCGCATGTGGTGGCCTCTCACTGCATCGCACACAGGTAAGATGTTGCTGTGTTAGTGTCGTTGCTGTTGGATATGCGGAACTTGATATGTTGCTTTTTGTGTACTAACCGACCAGCTGTGCTATTGTACCCGTGGCAGGGAAGCTCTAGCTGCAAAGGATGCGACTAAGGCACAACTAGCGCTTGGCATTTTTGACGCTGTTGTCCGCTCAGTGGCGGAAGATCTCGACAGATCTAACAACTCCAACCTCAAGTTCAAGGAGCTGCAAGAAGTCTTCAGTCATGCCAACCTTGAGGTCCAAGGGATCCATTCCGTCCGTTGGTTAAGTCGCGGCGACGCAATCGCACGATTCGTCCGCGTTCTGCCTGCTGTGATCGTTCTCCTCGAGGAGACAGACGCGACGATGTACCTTCTAGTGACATCGTTCAAATTTCATTTATTCCTGTTCTTCCTGGCAGACGTGCACACGGCACTCAACGCGCTCAACCTGCTATTCCAGAAACGTCATGTGAGTTGTTTTGCTACGCTCTGCAGATTTCTTCTTCTCCCTTTTACTTATCTTTTGTTTCCATGTACCCTTCCTCCACCTACCAACAGGTTGACCTCACTGCAGTGCACTCCCAAGAAAGGCGGACCATCATCTACATCGAGCAGAGGTACCTGAACTGTGGCCAGCAGTTTGGCGGTGGGACCAGCGAGCTGCTGTCTGCATTCCTCGCGCGGCACGCCTCGCCCGACTGCCGTGAAGTGACTGTGGAGGGGGTGGACAAGGAGGGTCAGCCCCAAGTATACAAGTTTCAGCTGCACGAGGAATCTGTGAAGGGGTACACCACCAGCAGCGGGGACATGCAAGGATGTTACACCTGCCGCCGCTCATTCGCCTGCGAGCTGGTGTACAACCTCGAGCTGCGCTTGGGGGACCTGACGCGCTTGAACGGGGCGAAGCTCTTCATGCCCCGCTCGTGGCCGAGGGGCGTCGAGGCAAGAGATGCGGAGTGCAAGGAGCACCTGCACGGCCTCGTGCATCTCTTTCAGGCCAAGAACCGAGACACCATCTTGCCTAGCGAGCAGTCATAGAACCCTGACCTGCATGTGTGCATGCACGTTTCCGTGGTTGACGTTCTTCCCATTCTGTGCGTTTGACGTTCTACCCGGTTGTGCGTTCCCGTTTGGCAGGTATCCACAAGCATGCAGCACGAGCGGAAGTGCGCACGTTTTTTCCGGTGCTCTCCACTGCCCCCAAGGAGGAGCAGCCCTTTCATACAGGTTTCAAGGCCATCTTGCGTACCAGCGACTGGCAGACCAGCTACCCCAACCTAGTCCGTCTGTGGGCTGCGGTCGCTGTTCTGCCACTTAGCACAGTCGAGTGTGAACGCGGGTTTTCCCGCCAAAATGTCATCAAGTCGTGGCGCCGGACAAGCCTCTGCAACGCCAAGCTGGGAGATTTGTTGGCAATGAGCCTGCTCAACTACGACATGGAGTGGGAGAAGGTGGTAGACATCTGGAGGAGCACCAGGAAAAGGCGCCCCAGCAAGCGCAAGGAGCAAGTTGCGCCAGAGAAGGAGCGGGCCAAGTTTGTTAAGGGGAGTGGCCGCCGGGTGCTGCAGGTGGGGGAGGAGCTAGACGAGGGCATGCATGATTCTGCAGGCGATGACAGTGAAAGTGATGGTTCCGGTAGCAGTGGTGGTGATGGTGAGAGTGATTCTGATGATGAGATGAGTTAGTAGTAGTTGTTGTAATTTCATATTCCAGCCAGATCTAGTGCTGTCACAATGATAACGGGCCTAAACATGCATGCACTGTTGCGTCGGCTCTGATGGTTTTTTTACACTGCTGTTTCGGTTTAGTAAGAATTTTTACACTGACAAAATTAGTATAAACATAACCACGAACGCTGATTTGGACACCTGGTTGGCAGGGGCACGCTGATCCATCAGCATACCCTCAAACCAATCTGAGGGCCTGCCCCGGATATAGGCGCCGTCCGAATAAAGGCGCCGGCGCTACTATCTGGAGCATGGTGCTTATGACCGTTCCTTGATTATAGGCGCACCCCTTTTTGTACCCGTACTTTTTATAAACGCATACCTTTAACATTTGTACTTTTTTTTTAACACTAAAAATTAACATCTTCATAAGCATTTCATTAGAAATCTAGCACCAACAATTACAACTACCTACTTCGAACTCAACTCACAGGCGTTTACAAAGGCCTTTCTACCAAGGAACCAACTAGCTACTCCTCCTCGTCAGACTTGGCTCCTGGCAGTTGTTGCCAAAGAAGCCATCGGCGATGATGTCGTCGTCGACATCCACTTCCGCGGTCAGCTGGGTCCGCCTGTGCGCCATGGCGAGGTTGTCCTCGCTGCCGTCAAGCGCGTTGCTAACGCCACAGGTGAGGAAGGCGCGCTATAAGGTCGGCGGGCACTGCCCTCCAGGCCCGCAAGATCCACCTCAGGACCACTGCAGGTGGCGGCTTCTTGAGATTCCCTGAAACAAGACAAAGAAACGATGATGATTAGATCAACAACGAGGGGATTTTATCAACGTGCATAGACACAAACCAGTTTAACACCGTGCCTGCTACCGTCAGCTGTTCTTGCCCCTCCGCTTCGAACCACTTCTGGTACTGCCGACGGACGGAGGCCTTGAAGCTCTTGTTGACGGAGACGTCGAGCGGCTGAAGCTCCCCCGTACACCCCGACGGGATGATCGCCGGCACGCAGTTCATCTCGCGGAACTTCTCCTTGACACCCTCGGTGAGGTGCCCGCGGTAGGAATCCAGAACCACCATGGAGCTCCTGGAGTGCCGACCGAAAGACGGCTTCAAGAACGGCTTGACACACTCGACGAGCCAGTGAATGATGCCCGCGGCGTCCATCCACCCGTTCTCGTGGCACGCCACGACCACATCTGCATAATAAACATCGGGTTGTGAAACATGAAATTAGTGAAACCGTAAAACAAAAACATTTGCAACACACGTCAAAGAACCTCACTTACCAGGCGGAAAGTCGCCCTTTGGCAGAGTCATCCTCTTGTAAAATACCCACGGTTTGAGCTTGGCGCCGTCCGCCGTGCAGGCCAACATCACGATCACGCGCTCCTCTGGTACCCGGCACTCCTGATGGGCACCGAGCAAACGCCAGCTTGCTCAACGGTCGTGGTGGCGCGCATCTCTGGTCAGAGAGGCCTCTGGTCGGCGTTGATGATCCACGTGGTCTCAATGTCGCGCTCACGTTGCTTGTCTTGGACGAACTGCCAAAAATTCTTGCACTGCTCCTCGACATCTGCGAGACGGTGGGAGACAGAGCAAAACACTCGGGTGCAATTAGTACATCACATGGTAAAGCACGCACGGATTATTCAAACGCGATCTTACGAGTGGCGGTTTTCTGTGCAACCCTTGTCTTCATGCGGACGCTTAGATTCCAGCGCTTTCGAAAGCGCTCCGACCACCGTTGACTGCCCTTCCACTTCTTGAGAGGGTAGAGAACCTTCATAAACTCCTTCGACCACTCCTGCAGGCGGCTGACCAACACGGCAGTTCCTTTGTGGCACCACTCGAGGAGCAGCTCATACACCTTCATCTCCATCGGTCGGTACCACGACGATCTCCCGCGACCGTGCATCCACTTCCGCGCGGAGTGAGCTTCCTTCAGGAATTCCGCCAAACGCTTCCAGTTGGAGAGGAACTTGCGGTATATGCCACTTTCGCAAGCCAAAGCACACACCGAAACCGCGACCTGCAAAAGCGCGACGTACTTCAGTTTCTCGGCGGCGGTATAGGCCTGACGCTTGTGATCGTTGAGCTTATGCCTGTGTAGCAGGGTGGGGTCGCTTGCGATTAGTAGGAGGGTAGGTAGGTATCGGCAACTTCTCTGGGAGCCCGTCGCGTGACGAGTGCTTAACACCATCGTCCTCGTCGCGGCCAGGTGCACCCTCGAGAAACGCATGCTCAGCGGTGTCGGCCTCGGTGCCAGTCTCCGTGCCGCCCTCGGCGCCTTTGCCGCCCTCATCGCGACACTCCTCCTCAGCATTAGGGACGTCGTCATCGGCGCCGACTACAGATTCGTCCCACGTACAATTGTCGGGCCGGCCCCAGCGCTGTCCTGGCACATAATCAACAGCCACATACTCATCTGTGGGCTTTCTGGACTCTGGTTCCAAGAGGTATTCGTCAAACGATGATAGGTGCAGAAGCGTGGGCACGGGAGGATTGCCCGTGTGAAGAGGAGACACTGGCAACGGGTGAGAAGGAGGAACAGGAGGCGCAGGAGGCGCAGGAGGAGCAGGAGGAGCAGGTGGCGCAGGAGATGCTGGAGGTTGTGGTGGCTGTGGTGGGCTAGGTGGGACACGAGAGTACCATCCGTCCTCGTCAACTACAAAGGTGGGCTTACGGGTAGGTTTCCTCTTGAACAAGAAATGAGTGCCAGAGAATTCCGCCATGGCTTCCGCAGCCAGGCGGGAGAGAGCAAGAATCTGAATGTGAAAGTGAGAGAACTGGAGAAGAAATGAGGGTTTGGAGTGGACCCCTCTTGGTGTGCGGCTGGAGGTCCTCTTCGGGGATAGTCGGGTACGCCCCTGCCTAAACCCGCAGAGGAGAGAATCGCGGCACATATCTGCTGCGCTGGGAGGGATATTCGACCCCCTTCTCGAAGGTTCGGGTGAAATGTTGCACCCTAGCAGCGCATGACATTCCTATTGGGCCGCACGGCAGGATGCACGTCATCGCTGGCAGGTGCATTGCTCCGGGACAGACTTTGTGCGGTGGGAAATTGAGCCGCGGCTGTTTTCGGCGGGATTTCATGCTCGATCCTTGGTCTTGTTCACCTTATTGACGGCTTCAGTTTCGTACCTTTAAAACCAAAATTAATTTTTTACATTATAAAAGCACCGGCGCTTATGGTCGTTACTCAATTACAGGCGCCACCCCCAAAAAAACTGAATTTATTATAAGTGCATATGCGCTTATATCCGGGGCTAGACTGTACGAAGGCCCCACCCCGATAGCTTTTGCGCTTGCACTGTTGCCGGATAGTCACGGATACCCAGCTGCCCTCTAGACGTAGCTTGCGACCGATGGATCAGGCGTCGTTCAACACGCTGACGCAACAAGTGGCAAAAATGTTGGCAGACATGAAGGCGCTAACGATAGAAGTGGAAAGACTACGTGAAGAAAATACCGAGCTACGCCAGGCGCGAAGTGAAGCGCGCCAAGACTTGGCAAAGGCAACAGTCACACGAGTTTTCGAAGAAGAAGTTAGGCAGCGAGCGGTTGCTGCCGCGATGACAATTGCAGTAAAGACGATCAATATTAAACGAGCAACCTGCCCCCGTTGAATCCTACGGACAAGAACGCTACAGTAAAGGGGTGGATCTTTGGCGTTGAAGTCTTCTTGGCTGTCGCAAACGTCAACGACGATGCTGCGGAGAGTCAATCTATACAGGAGCTGGACTATGGGGGGAAACCATTGGTGGTACGAATGATTGTAGCGTTTCCTCGTCTTCTCTCTACTTGCGCATTCACGGTGAAGGTTGGCAAGAGTCTCACTTGTGCCAAATCACGTAGTCGTATTCCTGCAACCGCATCGCCCACCTCGCATTCCTCTTGGTCGGTGCTCGTTGGTCATAAGCCAGGTCAGGGGTTGGTGGTCTGTAACTAGGCTGTAGGGTCTCCCTTGCAGTTACACTCGAAAATGTGTGATTGCCCATACTGCTGCTACGAGTTGTAATTTGCTTCCACCGGGTTACAACTCCTGCTCGCGAACACTACTGCCTTGTCCTCCCCCCCCCCCTATCCTGGCATAAGATTGCCCCCATCCCAGCGCTGCTCCAGTCGGTGTAGAGCACGAATGGGTCTTCTTTACTCGATAACGTCAGCACGACTGCCGTTTTTACGGCCCGGATCAGGGCACCCAATGCCCCCTGCCCCTCCTTTCCTCATGGCACACCTGTTCGTCTCGCAACAGCTTATTCAAAACGGCTGCCGTCTTATTGACATTCGGCGAGAACCCCAAGATGGCCCTTAGCGAGGATCGGCCCGTCGGCCTGGGCACTCTATCCGGAACTTCTAT